TCACTTAAAACAAAAAACATTGAAATCGGCTCACTATCTGATTGTTTTTTCAATTTTATATAACACAGTCCGACATGAAACTTTTCTCAAAGATAAGACTAGCCATTTCTAATATATTTTGGAGCACTAAATTTGTAAAAATAAAAACTTGTATATTTGAATTTTAATAAAATAAGGCGAAGAGCAAAATCGGCTAAAAACGGCTATTTTTTTTTTGCAAAACGGCTAACAAATTGACTGCCGGCTAAATCGAATTTTTTCCGGCTGTTTGCTGTCGCAACCGGCTAAATCTAGCCGGAAAACGACTAAAATGGCAACGCTGGTTGTCACTATTTATCTTTTCCGACCAAATTTGGTCGCTTCTTTTACATTTGGTAGGTTGGTAGGCAAAGTAAGATTTTGGTCGGATAGATGAATTAAGTTTTTAAACTCTTAATTATAAAAATATATATTTCAAACATTATTTTGCATATAAATAGTTGCCAATGGTACCTTTTAAAACATTTGCCAATCGTTCCTTTAAAAGTAAGAAACCAAATTGGTTTGGCCACTGATGGAGCCAATGTTATGGCTGGAGACTTGGGCGGGCTGAAAACATTATTGAGTGCAGAAACCGATTTATTTTATATAAAGTGCGCATGCCCCTCACTTCACCTTTTCTCAAGCTACGCTTGTAAAAAATTTCCGAAAAATATTGAGACACTGTGCCGCAATTCAACAATTATTTTTTGTATGGAGAAAATGCGCAACACCTTCCACTAAAAAAATTACCAAAAATCAATAGGGGTATTCTCTGAGTCTTGCAAAGCCCTTGCACGGTGCACGGATTGCACGGTTTGCAAAGCTGTCCCATACGAAAACCGGTTTTTACCGTGCAATCCGTGCACCATGCAAGGGCTTTGCAAGACTCAGAGAATACCCCTAATGCGATTTTCTTGCGACTTCAAACTTGCACGTTATTATACTAAATTTGAATGGGCTATAAAACTGCATACTTATAATTTTTCTAAAAAATCTGAATAAAAAGTTGCAAATTAGTGTGCAAATTACATGCATTTTCCTGAGTTTTGCACAAAGTTTAGAGACTTTATAATTATCGTCGTTTAAAGTGCAAAAGCGCGTATCAACAAAATGCAAAACCGCGTATCAGCAAAATGCAAAACCGCGTATGTGAAGTTGTAGAAATTATTTTCTAGAGGGTAGAAACACTCATTTTTCAAAATGGTTCTCTGTTTTATAAAGCAATCGCATTTCTGGCTAGTATATTTCAGGACGAATGGATAAGGATTGAGCTAAGAGCTTGTGTGAGCAAATCCAATTTTTGGCAGCCAACGTCAGTTACGCGGTTTTGCAGAATGACGATACGCGGTTTTGTACTTTAAACGACGTTATGTCTTCTTGTGTAGAATTTGCATATTTTGCGAAAAATTCATTGTGCCAATTCGGCCCTGTATATAGATTCTTTTCCCACAGTCCAAAGAGGATACATGAACTGAAGGAATTTCAGCACTACTGTTCGGTAAAACCCCACAAAATTTTGGGCATATCTCAAAAACGATGGCTTTCACTAGACAGCATTGTGTTAAGAATAGTTGAGCAATGGGATGGTTTGAAACTTTATTTTATTTCCTGCTTTTACGAAGTAAACGGTATGCGATCTGCAGATTTGCCCATAATAAACAATCTTAACAAAGAGTTCCAAGCTGAAAGCTCCGTTTGCCATACTTATATGCAACTATAAAAGCGCATTAGGGGTATTCTCTGAGTCTTGCAAAGCCCTTGCACGGTGCACGGATTGCACGGTTTGCAAAGCTGTCCCATACGAAAACCGGTTTTAACCGTGCAATCCGTGCAATCTGTGCACCATGCAAGGGCTTTGCAAGACTCAGAGAATACCCCTATTATCTCTTAATTTTGAGTAACTTTATTAAAAACGATGTGAATCAGTAACAATATTAATTGATTTAATTGATTTTAAAAATGATAATAATCATATTAAAATATCCGACATTTTTCCCCATCTCATAGATTGCGATCCTGATATAATAACTAGAGATGGGCAAAACACGTGAGTTTCTACGAGACATACTTTGTCAGGCTTTTTCACACGTAAGCGTGAGAGGTTTTGAGAGAAAAATTACGTAACTTCCGTGATCGTGCGTGACTGAAATTTTGGCTGGCGTGAGCGTGCGTGAGAAAACAATAATTGTGACCATGATACAAAAAAGAAGGTAGTTTCATTTAATGACATACGTTGTTTTTGTTAACCATTTGTCTTTCAATAAAATTATGACATTTCATTAAATTCATGCTACCTGATCAGGAGCAGTAATTTTTTTTTTTTTTTAAGCAGAAGATTCCATCAGTCCACTCAAAGACGTCGAATATGATGAACCTGAAAATTAATGCATAATCTCAAAAAGGGGGTTGACGAAACTAGGTTTCAGAACTGATGAAGAAAGTAATCAAAATTATAATTATGCTAATTACTTATCGGAGGGCGGTCTGCGCAATTCAAGTTTTTTGCATACATTGGAAATTTTAAATTCAAAATTTGTTGAAGTTAATGGTGATACGCTAACCACAAAGCCCAATTTTTTGCAAAATCTGATGAGAAATTTAAAAGTAAATTTTCACGAATTTCATGTGAACAAATAAAATAATTGTTCCCAATTTGTTTTTGTTTTGCATGTTAAGTTATGAGAACAATTTATTCACATGGAATTGGTGATTATAAAAGTATTTATTTGAAAAGAGAATTCTTTAGAACTAGATTTTTAAATTTCAAGATTGCATACAAAATAAGAAAATGAAAAATAACAACGTAATGCTCTCGTCTCCTTTAACATTACATATTTTATATATTTTTAATAAAAAGGTGCGAACCACGTAAGTAAAAAAATTACCAAGCTCTGATAATGATTTTTCATTTGATATATTATTAAACTGGTATAAATGTGGGAAAGAAAATACTCCGATTTATTTTAATATTATAAAAGTGGTATGGCCGTTGAGAATGCTCACAATTTATGAAACTTCAAAAAATTTTATTATCCGTCAAAAGTTGTTTATTGAAACTACCTTCTTTTTGTATCATGATTGTGACGATGTTTTAAAATTTTGGGAGAAAGCTAAAGATTTTCCACTTCTTAGAAGCTTTTCAAGGCAAATTTTAAACATAACAGCTAGCTCAGCAACTATTGAAAGAGTTTTTTCTGTGTCAGGCAGAATTTTAGAAGAAAGAGGTACACGACTGCTAGGTGATTAGAAGAAAGAGGTACACGACTGCTAGGTGATAACCGCGACAAAATATTATTTTTAAACAAAAATATGAGCGGTCATTTTAAAATTACATCAAATGAATATGGATGTGAATTATTTTCTTTACTCTGAACACATATGTACTTATATCTGACATTAAAAAATAAAACATAATAGTGCGTTCATCCCAGGCAAGGCGTTTGGCCAAACTTTTGTAACAATATTTATACAAAATTCTATTTATATAAAAAGGGTGAAATGGTTAAAAATTAACATATTCGTCTAATTTGGTTACTTTAAGATATAAAAATAACATACCCAGTTCCCCGAAAAATGTGCCTCTTAAGCCGAAATTCCCTGCAAATCGGGGAATTTCCCGCGAGTTGACAAGTTGAAGGCTGAGTTCCAAGTTGGTATATTGCAAAGCTTCCGCCTTTTTCATTTCTAAACTGTAATTGATGTAAATGACCATTTGCGCAACTAAGTTCGAATTCGGCATTTGAACATGGTTGCGCATATTAGACATTTCCATCAGCTGTAGTTAGGAAATAAAGGAGGCTGATGCTTTGCAATATATCTACCAACTTGGAACTCAGCCTATTTAACTATGCTACATGGGTTTATCACCCGCACTTAACCTACCTGGGAAGACGCATACAGTATTACCTACAGTTGTACATAAATATGTATGTAGTTCACCCAATGTGCCGCTACTACTTATGTACATAAAATGTATAAATTGCCACTGAGCAAAACTACTTGAGAAAAAAGCATTAGTTTATTGCACGAGTGCAACACCGTACACGTGATAGCAGTAAAACTTCTTAAAAAAGCACAGGTGTGCGCACCACACCCGGTAGAAATCTTAACAAAAATTTAACTACGAGGCAATCAGACGAATACAGTTGTTTATTGTATCCAAAGTTGGTAAGTTTTTATCATTTCTCATAATTTTTTTTTTTTCGAATACAAAGGATATGATCATTCTTTTTCGTTTTATTCCGTAACATAACATAATTTATTTGAGAAAAATAAAACATATAGATTATTGTTTGTATTTTCGTCGATTTTAAATTTGCTACCACAAATTAATTGATATCAAATAAAACGCCTCTCTGAGGTAAAATTTTCGAGTGACGAAAGTTGAACTAGAAACACAAAATTTATGATATCAATTTCGTGACGAAAATTATACGCATTTTTTAACTGACTTGGAAACGTACCGAAAATCTTTTTTTATTTATTCGTAACGTTGCGAAATTCCGTCTACTGCTAGAAACACAAAATAAAGAAAACAGAACTTTTTCAACGATTCGTATGAATAAAAAAGATTTTCCGTACGTTTCCAAGGCAGTTAAAAAATGCGTATAATTTTCGTCACGAAATTGATATCATAAATTTTGTGTTTCAAGTTCAGCTTTCGTCACTCGAAAATTTTACCTCAGAGAGGTGTTTTATTTGATATACCTATTCCGCTTGTTCGAATATCCTTCGCATACATCCACATGCATGTATTCATATGGATGTATACATAATTATACTGCTGGAGCTTCATATAGTGACTCACACCAAACTATCGATTTTTTGTGTGTCTAGAACGTTTGCAAAAGGTTTCACATTCACATATATGTACATATGTATGTACTTAAATTTTTTTGTTTATTTATTCTAAGTACTTTCAAGATTGCACATACATTGTTTGTACATAATTGGTTGGTCTACTAAATAAGTTAACACACCTGGAATTTGAACTTGGCTTGAATCAATTCTACAATGTTTGGTCCATTTCGCGGTTCATATATGTTAATGGTTTGATTTGTGTGGCAACCGCAGATAAGACAAGTTCGCTTTAAATATTCGGATGCTTTTTCTGACATCTTTCTCCTTTGTATTAGAAGTTAAAACTTATACTTCGAATCAGTTCGATATTTGGAAATAATTTTCACTAACTCTTATTAAATTGTCTAAAAATTAACGATTTTTCGTCTACTTCACATTTGTTAAAAGAGGATACACAAAATCGTTCACACGCGCGGCGAGGTACTGCAGGAGAGTGATGTACGTATCAAGCGGCTGTCGTTGCCGTATACTATCGGATTCACAACGATAGGCAGCGCGGACAACCGACACGTCCTTAACTCCAGGCAAATTACAAGCGAATGAGGAATTCATAACGAGAGCTGTACATACAATAGCCTACTGCCTCATTATCAGCTTGCAGCTGCTGGTCTTTTGGTTATACACAGCGTTCGTATTTTACTCCGATCTGAGTAGATTCACTTCGGATTTTAAGGCATTTTAAAATCGACTCCTCTACTCCGCTTGTCTTTAAATGAGGGCTATTTTTTGCAGTCAACCCACGATTTTCTGTAAAAAAAAATTAAATTAAGTAAACACTTATTGCTGAAAGGACTTAATAAATGCGTCCACATAGTAATTTCGTTTTTTTATTTAATTTCGCAGGTATCGTTCTACAAAAGGTCTTATACTTACATATGTTCTACTTTATATGACTATGTATTTCTAACTAAACACGTAACATATTATTCTTAAATTAGTTCGGGTTTTGCTTTTGCATCATAAATATTTAAATCATTTCCTATTTCATACAACTCAGCTGAAATTTAAAAAAGAAGTTTGGCGCTTTTCCTGGTTAAGGACCCTTACAGGCCTATTCTGCGTTGGTAACAAAAATTTTGTTACCGGTTAGTAAAGTTACTGTCAATTTTTAAACCCTTTTCGTATTCTCCACACTCATGTAACCGGTAAATTTTGTTACCATCTCATGAACAGGTAACAAAATATTGCCCCGTGAAATATGCAACAACAGAATTTCAACAAAACTCCATAGCTGAATTGCTGAATAAATTAAAACGTTACCAAGGTAAATAGAACTGCGGTTGCAAGAAGTGGTGACAATTGTTGGTAACAAAATTAGCTTGTTACAAAATATTCGGTTTCAAGCAGAATAGGCAGATTAGTGAAATTTTCCGCTTCATGCAAAATTTTCCATTTTTAATTCGCATGAAATAAAAAATGGAAATCTACTACGTGAATTAATTTTTTTACTCCGATTTTACGAGTGATTTACTTCTGAGTCGAGTTTCGGTAGTTCGAACCCTGTTTGTACATGTTTCCTTTCATTTGGCTACTCAGGGCCAGCGCTGCCATTTTAGCCGTTTTCCGGCTAGATTTAGCCGGTTGCGATAGCAAACAGCCGGAGAAATTTCGATTTAGCCGGCAGCCGATTTGTTAGCCGTTTTGCAGAAAAAAATTAGCCGATTTTGCTATCTGCCCTGTTTTCTTAAATTTCAAATATGTATATATGTTTCCATTTTTGACTAACCGACCCAAAATCTGTTAGAAATGGTTACTAGCCTTATCGTGGAGAAAATTTTCATGTCAGGCAAGGTTGTATGAAATTGGGCCGATTTCGCTTATTTTTATTTTAAACGAAGAAGGGATTTTCTTCATAAAATGTTTGTTATAAATGTCTTAATTTTAAGTGTGAAGTTTTATACGCAAACTTAGAAAATAAGAAATTGTTTCACTGTTAAGACACTTAAGATGCGTTTGTGTTTGGATATAGTGCCAACAAACAGAATAAATATTACATGTAGATATTTCTAGCCTAGAGCATGTAGCGCATATTCAATTCTGCCTAGATTACAAAACATCATTTTTGCCCACTCCGAAAGGTTTAAGGTAAGGGAAAAATTGATATTTTCAAGGACTATGTACACATATGTATTTTTTAAACAAACTTGTTTGCTGAGAACTTATTTAAATTCCAAAAACCGAATGCCAACTTGAATTAAAGGAACCAACACTGAAGTGAGTCAAAATGAAAATAAAAGAGCACAAATTTCTATGTAAAGCAAAACTCTCTGGGAATCCTACGAGACATCTGCCGGTCATATGGCCGGTCATCTAAATGGGAGATCTGCAGTCTTTTGGCATCATATTTTACATCAGAATTGCAGGGATTTCTGAAAAATCTGACCAGTTCTTCTGTGTAACTGTAATTTTGCATCCCTTGTCAACAAATGGCCTCGGTTGATGTTAACTTAAGGTCGTTGTTTTACTGCCTTAAAATTGAAGGGAAATTTGTACAGCGCTTTTTATGTGTACTGGTTTCTATTTGAGTGGATTGAGAATCGGTCAGTCTTAAAAGGCCTTGTAGGGAAGACAATAGGTTTGTTCGCCGAAAATCCAGCGAGAATTATCACTCAAAATATCAGATAGTAAGAAAAAATGCTCCCAAATTCTCTCTCATGTAGAGAAACTTGCAATTTTCTGTACGAACGCAAATTTGCAAGTTTTTCTGCCAGCTAGTGTCCACTGTTGCATTTCAAACGAAAGAAATTTGTATAGAATTTTTAAAACTCTTTCAGAGGGGCAAAAAACAGGATCAACGTGTATATATCTTGTCAGTCCGACTTTCTTCAACATACGTTTCAATTTCTTTGTCGGGTTTACTATATCGATTCTGGTTGAGATTGCATTCCGATTAAGAATACAGTTTTTTTTTGCCGAGTACCTTTCAAATCATTGGAATTAACTAAATTAATTAAGTTAACAAGTATTAACTTACATTTTTCATTTTAAAATCGCTGCAGTTTGTAAATTTTTAAATTTAACGAATTTGTTTATTCCAATTATCGTCGACAAAAAATCCAACCATGTGCCACAATCATAAGTTTTTCCTAATTGCAAATTCTTGCTGGCAAAATTTTTTCCGGCTTGAATTCGTAACTTCTCTCCATGAAATAGTATTTTTACTCCTGATTTATTTAAATAAAACATGTGAAATTTAGTTGAAACATTTTAGCCGTTTTTAGCCGGTTTTATTTTATTTATTCTGGCAACACTGCTCAGGGCCTGTGCCAATCGGTAACTTTTTTCTCCATGGTGAGACAGGGTGGAAAAATTTGCTATGGTGTACAAATAAATTGAATTTTGCTGTGCCAAATGCAAAGTAAAATTTTGACAGTTGAAAAATCAAACGAACGCTAGTGCGAGAGCTCCATTTTTGCGTGTTCCTGAAATTGTTAAAATTTATATTTGACTTATAACTTGTAAATAACGTTCGCTTTTTTCGTGCTTTTCAGCTTTCATTTTCACGTTCACTATTTATTACCGCCAAGCAATATTATGTGTATGCATATTTATAAAGTGCCAAAATTTTACTTAGGCCCACGAGCTAGGTAAAACTCTGACGTTCGTATTCACCACGATAAATGTCAAATTTTTACTTTGATCCGTCAAAATTTCCTCTTTTCTATCAATTGGCACAGTTGACAACGTCATTCTAGCAGTGTTGCCGCGAACGAATTTTTAAGGGAAGCGAAGCTCTTGAAAAATCGAAGTGTTTCGAGGACGGTCGAATGAAATGTGGCTGAATTGCTGTCGGTATTACACATTTCCTTCCATACAAAGTATGTTAGAAATTTTGTACACATATGGAAGAAAACGAGCACCACCTAAAAAAAAAAATCAAAAATCAACGCGAATTCCTGGCTCAATACGATACTTAAATTGAATGTGTATAAGAGTTTTTTCTAGAAATTAGGACTGAAAATCCAAAAAAAACACACGAAAAAATCAATATATTCACAAAACTAGGAGCCAAATATAGTATAACTGCGTTTTTAATTTTTCTCTCTGACGTCAGGATTTTTTTTAAAGGACTTTGAAATTTCCTGGATGTGATTGAATAAAAAAATAATCTAAAAGATCTGGTGCATTGTAGAGTAACAATGTGGGTATCAGTTAAAAGGAAAAATTCTGTAGAATTTAAAAAAAATTTAATTTTTTGTTGCACCAGGACAAATAGATGTTGAAAATGTCCTTTTAAATCTTTATCCTTAAATATCCTTGGAAATTTCCAATATTTATTTTTGAAAAGAATATATGTCAAGGACTAATATGCAAACAAACACATCCTCGAATTTCGTCCTTCTAACTTTATTGATAACTAGCAGAGCACCCGACGTCGTTCGGGTTAAACAAATCAAATTATAAAACAGTAGTACAAATATTCAGTTCAGCATAAATTAAAAGAGTCAAACTATTTTCTTTCTGTTTAAATTAAGGTATCCTTATGAACCATACATACATAGCTTTATCGTGCTTCAACAACTATATATTTGTAATCATTTTCTGTACTACAAATCTGTATTCATTATTAATATTATGTGAATTAAGGCAACGATAGAATTCTCAAATTAAAATTAGTCTACTAAGGTAAATTCCGTTTAGCTGCCTATTCGCTTAGCTGTATTAGTATAGCTGCACTTTTCTGGTAGAATTCTCATTTCGAAAGGAGTTTTATTTAGAGATGGGCACGTGAGTAATTTTGGCTCACGTTCACGCACGATGGTTTTTTAAATCACGCATACTCACGTCCTGCTATATTTTTTTCAATCACGTTCACGCACGCTCACGACGTCTATTTTTTTAATCACGCACGCTCACGCACGGTTTCTCACGGACTTTTTTTTGAAATTGAAACTTTATTTATATAAATAGTATTTCATATAAATAGCCTTTTATAACACAAGTATTATTACAAAAGCTTGGCCAAACGCCTAGCAAGGGCTGAAGGCACTATTATTATTTTAGCAAATTTCAGATATACATACTTATGTATCTATTACGAGTATAAAAAAGAATTGGTATCAATATTTATTCAACGTATGCAATATTAAAATGACATTGCTCATATTTTTGTTTAAAAATCAAATTTTGTCGAGGTTTTCACCAAGCAGTCGTGTACGTCTTTCTTTCAGAACTCTGCCTGACACAGAAAAAACTCTTTTACTTGTTGCTGAGCTAGCTGGTATGTTTAAAATTTGCCTTGAAGACTTCTAAGAAGGGGCAAATCTTTAGCTTTCCCCCAAAATTTTAAAACATCGTCACAACTTTTGTTTTCCGATTTTTATTACACAACGGTATATTAATTTTCTTCACATAACGGTTGTTTGTAACAGCCAAAACGAATCGAGATAGATATAGACAAATGTATACATAAATGATCAGGATGAAAAAAGAAATCGATTAAGCCATGTCTGTCTGTCCGTCTGTCCGTCCGTCCGTGTACACGATAACTCGAGCAAAAATTGAGATATCTCA